TTCCCTCTCTCTTTAGACCTGGAAACCAATCAACAACCCCTTTCTTTCATCTTCTCCAGAGTTAGTGACACCTTTTGAAAAAAAGTCTAACACTTTTCTCCTCCTTCTGTGTATTTGCCACCTTACATTTTCTCTGTTTTTTTTTTTAACTCTCATCTTATTCTTTACTCTTATAAATTCTTAATTCTTATAATGAAGAAAGAAGGTCCATTTTCCTTCTGCAGACTGATGATTTATCCTATGCTCACGATCCCATTTCTATTGCAGGACTTTGTCCATTAATTATTTCCTTTATCTCATGTCTTCAAGAGCTCTGTTTCCAATTTCTTTCCTTCTTTCTGCCAATTAACACACTTCTATCTTCCTTTTAAACTGCTACTTTCTATGTGTTCCTTTTTTGGTTGTACTCAATGCTCAGTAAACTTTTTAAATTTCCTGCTGATTCTATGACTGCTTATAATTTGATGTCTAGCATTCTAGTGGGAGAAATACTCTCTGGGAAGCCATCATCTTTTATCTATAGTGAATTATTTTAAAAACAAATCTTATATGTTTATGTGTTTATTATCTTTCCCCAAATAATATAAACTCCTTGAGGATAGAGATTATAATTGTTTGGTTTCTTACTGAGTTTTCCCTATAACTTGGTTCATGCAGAATCAGCACTCCACAAACCCCAATAATGATTTTGTTCAGTATTAATATAATTGAGGCCTTAATTCCTTGGGGGCCCATCTTTATTATATCATTTATACCCCAAATCCAGCCATTCCCCAATTTCCTGTTCTATGAACTCCCATATAGATTTTTTTCCTACTTCTTTTTTCATTTCAGCATTCTTCATGCAAATATTCCTGTAGAATATAAGATCTTCTAGCCTCCTCCATGGCTCTTGTCAAGTCCATTTTACATTGACATACCAGTGTAATCTTTATCTGAAACAAATAAATCCTCTTTTTGTAATCCCCAACCCCAAGTGATTATAGATCTTTCTGCAACAATAATTTTGCCTTTTCCAGAATTTATGTAATAAAATCATAGCATTTATCATCCTATGTGCTTGACTGGTTTCATTTTACATAATGTTTCTGAGATGTTTTTCGTAGTGTTTCATGTTTTAATTTATTTCAGAAATTAATATACCCTTTTATTGTTGAATATGATATAATGCTATTTCTCTTAGTAAGTTGATGGACTTCTTGTTTTTTTTTCCGGTTTTTGGTTATTGCAAACAAAGCTGTTATGAACATTCATGTACAAGTTTTGTTTTGAACTTGTACTTTTATTTCTTTTGCACAAATACTTTAGAGTGTAATAGTTAAATCATGTGATAAATGTATGTTTGGCATTTTAAAGAAATCTTAGGAACACTTTAAGAAGTTGTGGAGAAGGGTTAGTAGAATATGGTGTCGTGCCACAGTTGTGCTTTCTGAAACATCAGAAGTCACAAAGGAGGAGTAGGAGGGTGGAGACAGTCATTCTAGTTAAAACTCACTGTCTCTGCTCAGTTCCTAGCAGAGCCAATTTTCAGATCTGGAAACCATTGATGGAGAGGTGGCCTCATTCCTAGGAGGCAAGTCATACCAACTCTCTGCAATTGTATATTACAATGATTTCCCAGTCATTTACTAAGAAGACTCTTCCTTAAAGAGAGAAAAGCACCCAAACATTTCAAAAACCATTGGACAGCAGTAGGAATTGAATTTGATACTTAGGAAACCAAAACATCATCATGGCTCCCTGCTAGCATGGTGGTTTATAAAACTTACGAAGTTCTTACTAAAATCCAATTTCCAATGGGACTACTAAGTCCAAGTATCTGCTCACTGTAACTCTTGAAAGTATAATGAAATGGACATGCTTGGTAGTTGTTACTGGGTCTTTGGATTTTGGAGGAAGTTAATATAGTGAAGAAATCCAACAAAAATCTCGTAAATGCTGCCCATGCCTGTGAGTGCACTCTTTCCCAGGAAAGGATTAGTGAGGGTGTGGAAGAGATTAGTGGGACAGTTGTCCCTATCATTTCCTCACTTCCTGGTATTTTCCTAAGTCTGGATCCTTCAGAGACTAAAGAATCCCGAAGAATAACTATGGTTCAACCACATAGTAACCCCAATTACTGCTGTTGTTCGGATGTTTTGTTGTTGCCAGAGTAGATGTATATAGCCTCAGCTGTACGCTACTGGGGCACGGTGAATGCATTTCTTAATGATTTATAAGGAAAGAGAGCCAGAGACAGTTCATTGTAACATGCAACATTTAAATATTCACTAATAGGTTTTCTCTACCTAAGGCTAAGTTTACTCATCCTCTTCTCATGGTGGGTATGAAGTGGTCTAGATGATCAAGGTAGTTCAGGGAATTCACACTGGTCTGTTATATCAGTGACATCAAGCAGATTGGAAACAATGAGCAAGAGGTGGCTAATATGCTAGAAGCCTGCATCTGGACCCACCCCATCCTCCTCCTCTTTTGGCCATGATACAGGTCTTTCCCTGTTCCGCTTAAGGCCATTTCATTTAGCCGCCTATTTAGAAATCTCAAGTTATTGATTATGCTTTCTGTCTTGCATATTCAACATCATCATTTCAAATAAGTCTTTCTCCACAGTTTTTGAAACACTCCATTAAAACAAAAGCCAGAAATCCTCCCTCTGTCCTAAATCTGCCCCTCACTATTGTACTTTGCTTCTCTGCCTGGGTCCTGCAAAGGGCTGTCTACACTTGTTACCAGGCCATCACCCTCCCCATTGCATAGTCAGAGTTTTCCAGTTTAGTTGAAGTCCCCATCACTTATTGAAAAAAAGCTACTTATAATGTCAACATTAACCTCCATACTTCTAAAAATGGACCTTTTGAGTTGATCCTAATTGGCTTCTCAGCAGCATTTGATAATATATTCCTCCTATTATGGTTTGGATTTTAAATATCCTCCAGTGGTCACGTGTTGAGGGCGTGGTCACCAGCTGAGGGCACTGTTGGGAAGTGATGGGGCCCTAAGGAGATGGGGTCTACTTGGAGGAGTTAGGTCCTGGGAGCATGTCCTTGACAGGGCTATCTGGTCCCTCCCTTTCTTTTTACCTCTCTGCCACCATAAGGTGAGCAGCTTTGCTCCACATGAGATCCCTAGCCACAGGCTCAAAATCGATGGAGCCACTGACCAGGGACTGAAACCTCTGAAGCTCTGAGCCAAAGTAACCCTTTCCTTCCTTTAGGTTTTTTTGTCTTAGGTATTTTTGTCAGTGATGGAAAGATGACTAACATACCAATTTTGCAATCCTCTCGAGCTCTGGATTCGTGGAATCAATTGCTTACTTCACATTTTTACTTGGATGATTCAAAGTCAACTTATTTAGATCAAAAGTCATGCTCTATTTGCCAATTCTAGCCGTGGGTGTCTCAGTAACTCCAGAAACCTAGGGGTCTAAGCTCAACGTTTCCTTCTCTCTCATTTCCAGTATCTGATCTACCACCCAGGGCAGCTCTTTTCTGCCCAGTATTTCTGAAATTCGCCCCCATCTTGCTGCTGCTCTGTTTGTTGAAACGACCTTTTCTGTCACCTAGATTATTGCAATAGCTTCTTAAAGGAAGCTATGATCCTCTCTTGTTCCCTCCCATTTTTACTCTTCTAGTCTTTTCTATACTCTGCAAACAGTGTTCCCCTGGTCCTTAGTCATTCCTTCCATAGAACAGTTTAGTAAAATAAAACCCAAACATTTAATATGGCCACCCGTATCCTCACTTTTCTGCATGTTCCACTTTGGCCTGTGATTTTCACGTAGGTAGTGCTTATCTTTCAACCACCTATGACACAGGAAAGGCTTCTCTGACCATCCCAGTCACATCTCTCTGTTAAATGCTTCTAATACCTCACTCTGTTTGTTCATAACACATTTGACTCTTGGTTACCACGTGTCAAATACTACTAGCATCTTTTAAAATGACACAATTAATATTCATAGTAATCCTAGGAAATAGATACCTTCAAAATTTCCATTTTACATATCAGCAAACTGAGTACCGAGAAATTAATTAACTTGCTCAGAGTCACACAGTTAGTATGTGGTACTTGGGATCAGTCCCAGGTATCTAACTCTAGAGTTAGGTCATACTTTTAGCTTCCTCACTCATGCTGTCTCTCCTCTCTCCCTTTGTGACATTTACCACAATCACAAATTATCTTTATTTGTCCAATTATTTATATTTATTTTCTTACTGCAGGAAAAGCTGTTTTGTTCATTACTGTGGTACATAATGAAAACAATTAAATATCAAACTATTTACCGGCTTGACCTGGTATTTTGGATGTTAACTTCCCTTTATATGTGTACTCTGCCTTGGAATTTTGTATGGTCTGGTTACATTATTTCAGAAAAAAATTTTAAATGAGAACTAGGCAGAGGAATTTGAAATAGGTAATGAATATTTTCATTGCCTCACAACTTAATAAATTGAGTGTCTGGAGTAGAAAGATCAGCATTTCAGAAATGTTATGGAAAGTATTCATTTTTCATTCATGTTGAAAGTTTCATGAACCAGAAGTCATAATCCCTTTTTCTGATTAATTATGAATCCACATGCCTTGTCAAGCCCAAGCCAAGGGATAGTAAGAGAAGGTAACATTTTCCTGATTATAAAATAATACGTGTTCATTACCTGGAATCTTAGAAATGTCAAAGACTATTGAGAACAAATTAAGAATCATTAACTGCTAATTCTACCAGGAAAAGAAAAACTAGAATTGATATTTTGGTACACAAAAATCTTGTAACATCAGCATATGTCTATATAAATAAATATTTTTATGTACATATATGCCAAATATAGAAAAATATATATACATGTGAATGTACATATGTGTACACTTTCAAAATTAGCATATTACTTTAAGTGATTTCTTGTTTCATAAGCCAATATTACTGTTATTAAATTTTGTTTTCAAAAGTATGATTTTTTTTGTTTGTTTGTTTTTTAAAATATTTATTTTTTTATTTATTTTAGTTTTCGGCGGACACAACATCTTTGTTTGTATGTGGTGCTGAGGATCGAACCCGGGCCGCACGCATGCCAGGCGAGCGTGCTACCGCTTGAGCCACATCCCCAGCCCAAAAAAGTATGATATTTAATGACTGAATATACTTATGGATATGCCATCATTTATTTTACCATGTTCTCTTTGTAAATACAGTGTTTTCTTTTAAGTAATAATTCGGTAATCTTGTTTGTATAAAGAATGAACTTGTTAAGTCTCCTGGTTCAGTTTGCCTCATTGCTTTGCAGAAAGGTTATAAGTAATCTAACACTGCTAACAGAATTATATAGGGGACATAGCCTATTATGATTTTACCAGAGCTAAATGTTGCTCCTGGAAACAAAATCTTTGTTTGTCAGAAGATTTGATAGCCCTGTGTTAATGACTGTTTGGGAAACACACATTCTTATATTTTTTTTATTGTATGAATGTAAAAATTACTTCAAACTCCATGCAGTGAAATTTGAGAAGTCTTGCTAAAATTTAAAACCATTTCCTTTTTGATGACAATTTAACTTCTAGGAATGGTTCCTCCAGATATATGGATGATTATTCTCAAAGTTGTGTTACAGAAATATTCATGACCACTTTATTTGTAATAGCAAAACGTTGTAAGCAACTCAACCATCTTTAGGAGACTGGTTGTATAAATAGGGTATAGCTATACCAGAGACTAGTAGACCAATAAAACCCTTTATGTTGAAATTTATAAATTTAATTCAAAGTGGCTTACAATATAAGAAAATACATTGATAGCTTGACCATCCAAAGGTGGCCTTAACTACTTGGCTGTCATAGTCCCCATAGACCTAGTTTCTCTCATCTTTCTTCCATAATAGCTGTTACCTCACAACTATTATCTGGTTCCATTTGCAACTGCAAGATGTCCTGTGCTTCTTTATCTCATGGAGAGAGGGAGCATCTCTGATTTCTCAAAAGACCTGAGCTTCATTTTGATTGAATCAACCTGGGTTGTCTGCATACCCTAAAACAATCATTGTTGATCAGAGACAATGTCCACCCCTGGAGACACAGATCTCACATCAGTGTGGTAACATTAAAGAGGTGGGAAAATGGATGGAAATGGCAGGACAAGAACAAGTTGAGCTATGATTTCTATGTAGTAATTAAAATTAGTTTGTTTTATATGTAGTATTATAAAATAAACTCCAAGATATAAAGCCAAAACAATAAGAAGGTGCTAATTATGAACACACACACACACACACATACATATTTGCTTGTACAGATAAAGAATTTTTTTTAGAAATGTACCCAGGAGCTTGTAGCTTGGGTTACTTCTAAAGAAGAAAATTCAAGAGAGCAGAACAGATGAAAAAAGACTTTCTACCATAAAAGGTTTTTATTATTGATATTTTTCATTTTGTATTAGCTATTTTAAATAAATGTATGAAAAAAATATGGTGTCTTATTCTACTTTCTATCTTTGGGAATATAGCAAGATTGAATTTTTTTTCAAATAAAAATTGACTATTTGTATTTATTCTTATATAAACTATCCACTAATGTCTTTGACTGTCTTTTTCTATTGGTATGTGTGGTTGCCAGTCTTCAACAAGGACCAAGAACTCACTTCTCTGATATTTATGCCCATGTCTAGTTACCTTCTACATTAAATTGAGATTGGCCTGCGTTATCAATAGAATATGTAGAAGTAAAAGAGTGAGGCTTCCAAGACTAGGTCATAAAAACATTATGTGTCTTGTTCTCTTCAATCCCTTGCTCTGGAGAAACCCAACCATCACACCATGAAGACTCACTACTGATATGTGGAGAAGTTCCAAAGGAGAGGAGATGAGACCTCCCACCAATAGCAGCATGGGAAAACCAGCCCTGACACAGACCCTCCAGTCAAGTCGCACTGAGGTGACTGTAATATTTGAGGGAAACCTCATGAAAGACCCCCCGTAGAACTGGCCAGATGAGCCTTCACAAATTTATGATCTGCCAAATTTGTGAGAGATAAATTATGATTATTTTAAAACATTAAATTTTAAAGTAATTTGTTATCCGTGATATGCAAGATAAGAATTTTTCTTATTGATTCGCTAAAGATCTTTACATTTCAAAGTTTATAGTTTGCCAGACAGGGTCTCACTGAGTTGTTTAGGGCCTTGTTAAGTTGCTGAGCTGGCTTTGAACTCTCAATCCTGGTGTCTCAGCTTTCTGGAGCTGCTGGAATTATAGCCATCATGCATGACAACTTATATTTCTTAGAATAGGTTTTTATACTTCTTATGAAAATATATAATTCTTTTAATTAATAGTTTGACATCTAATCACTAATTTTTAAAAATTTTTGCATTTTTTATTTTAATTTGTTAGGTATGACAGCAGAATGCATTACAATTCACATTACACATATAGAGCACAATTTTTCATATCTGTGGTTGTACACAAAGTAGAGTCACACCATTCATGTCTTCATACATGTACTTAGGGTAATGATGTCCATCTCATTCTACCCTCTTTCCTACTCACATACCCCCTCCCTTTCCCTCCATCCCCTTGCTCTATCTAGAGTTCCCCTAATCCTCCCATGCTCTACCCCCTAACCCCATTATGGATCAGCATCCTTATATCAGAGAAAACATTCGGCCTTTAGTTTTTTGGGATTGGCTTACTTCACTTAGCTTGATATTCTCCAACTCCATCCATTTACCTGAAAATGCCATGATTTTATTCTCTTTTAATGCTAAATAGTGTTCCATTGTGTATATATACCACATATTTTAATCCATTCATCAACTGAAGGACATCTAGGTTGGTTTAGCAAGAAGAGTGAAGTAGGTAGCATCAGTATACCAGACCTTAAACTATACTACAGAGCAATAGTAACAAAAACAGCATGGTATTGGCACCAAAACAGACTTGTAACCAATGGTACAGAATAGAGGACACAGAGACAACCCACATAACTATAGTTATATTAGACAAAGGTGCCAAAAACATACATTAGAGAAAAGATAGACTCTTCAACAAATGGTGCTGGGAAAACTGGAAATCCATATGCAACAAAATAAAATTGAACCCCTATCTCTCACCATGCACAAAACTCAACTTAAAGTGGATCAAAGACCTATGAATTAAACCAAATACACCGTGCCTAATAGAAGAAAAAGTAGGCCCAAATCTCCATCATGTAGGATTAGGCCCCAACTTCCTTAATAAGACTCCTATAGCATAAGAATTAAAATAAGAATCAATAAATGGGAAGGATTTAAATTAAAAAGCTTCTTCTCAGCAAAAGAAATATCAGTGAGGTGAATAAAGCCTACATTTTGGGAGCAAATTTGTACCAATCACTAATTTTTAAAGAAATAATTCTACTAATTCTAAGTTAATTTTATTCTGCTATGTACATTTGAGACCAAAGATATTTTATTTTCATTTCATACCCTGTTTCAAACAACTTTAGAGCAATGTCCCACAGTTACGGCTACTGAAAACTTTCTCATAAGGTTCTTTGATTTTGATGAAAATCACTTTAGTATATGTCAACCATGACTTGAGTTACATTTATCATGTTGAAAAGGATTCTTCTATTCTTAGTCTTCTTTTAAAAATTGGTAATATATTGAATATTGTAAAATGTCTATTCTGGAATTTGTTGAAATGTTCATGTTTTAAAGTGATCACATATATAATCAAATAAATACTAAATCAACACTGCACTTCTGGAGAAAACAATTCTTATTTATGTAGGTAAATACTTTAATAGAGTCTCAGGTTCTCATTAAACAAGAAATTAGTATATTCATTAAGTATGTGTATAGTGTTCAGGTATCACCTATCATTACAGAAATTTTGTTCTTGGCTTTCACTTCAAAGGTAAGAAAAACTCTTGCAGAGAATATAAATTCAAAACTCTGTACATGATGTAAACTTGGAAGGAGAAGGATGAAGTAAAAGATCCAGCAGTATCTTGGGCTTATCAAAATAGGGAGGGCTGATGGGTTCCTTTCTTCCAGAAGTCCAGCATTATGGTGGAGAGAGCATAGGCCCTGAGATTGGGGACACTTGGCTGAGACCACACTTTACAGCCATTATTAACTATTAATCTTTTGAGATTATTACTATCTTATTTAATATTTTTTTCAATTATTTCATTAATAAAAATTTAAAATGTTAAAAATTTTTCTTTCCTTTGTACTTTCAAATTTTTATCATCAAATTTTTATTAGTGTATTCTGTTTCTTCACTACTGGAATTCCTACTATTGTACTTTGGAGTCTTACTTTCATATAAAACTTTGATGATATTCTGAAGTCCTTCAGTATTAGCTTATTCTCTCATTAAAAATTCTTGAGTTAATTTTGTTATTCAATTGTAATTCAGTGTTTATATTAGACCAGTGATATTCAAGTGTAGTTCAATATGGTTTTTAAGGGACTACAAGGTCAAAATAATTTTAATGATAAGACCATTGTGTTAGTTTTATTTGTTCTTTCTCATTTTCTTCCAATTGCATGAAATTCTCCCACCCCCCAAGATGAAATGATTTTCATTTTATTAAATATTCAGTTATTTTTAAATCTCCTTCTACTTTTATTTTTTCAAAAAATTTATGATAATGGTAAATTTCCCTGATAAATTGAATCATTGTCCCCAATTCTTTCTCCCTTTGCCATGAACTTTGAAGTATCTCTCTGCCACAGTGGGGAGTGTTTCTAGCCTTTGTCTTTGGTCTGCAGACTCCTGTCCCATGGCTCCTTTCTTACCGGGATCCAGCCACATGTACCAGTGTTACATCACATAAACATGCAATAGTCTCATAGCGTTGAAGGTTAATTCTTCCTCAGTGTTCTCTTCATCCTCCAGCTCACTTTCTCAGGGAAGCTGTCCCTGAGACTTAGACATAATTTTACTGCTTAGCAGCCTTTTACCACTGTTCAGTGTCATGAAGAAAATTGCTCAGACAAGATTCCTGTGTTCAATTGTCCTTGGGAAATAATTGATTTGTCAAATATTTATTTATTTATTTATTTTTGTGCACCTATTAAGTAATATCCTTAGGGTGCTCTCAGTCCAACAAAAGTGTTCTATCTACAAAATAAGGCCCTGTTGACTGCAGTGGTAGGACCTGCTCAGGCTAATGGGCCAGTGTAGACTGAATCTGCTTTGTTCACGTGTATATGTACTTACACGTATTTGGAGATTTGGAGCCCATTCCCATAGTTCCTTCTTTGAGTATGGTGCTGTAACTCATAGCAATAACTTCAAAGTTTAATTTAATCCCTTCCTCTGTACACTGCTTTCATTTTAATCTTTTCCTCCATCTTCCCCATTTATACACATACAAAATATATGACATATAATATCTAAATATTTAACATATGGATTAAATATATGCAAAATGCATATATGTATTTGGTCAAGGTTAATTGACTATTTACTCTAGAGTTTGTACATTTAAGACTGCTGGGGCTATGCCTGGGTAGATGTCTTTGACAGGAGACAGGGCTTGTTAGCAACCTGGACAACTCAGACCATCTTGAGGCTTCTGACACAAATAAAACAAGATCCTTCCTCTACAATTTGTATATAATTTGCCTTCAGAGTATCCATTTGCTGCTGAAAACCCCTCCAGGAACGCTTTGCAGTACAGCAGAACTGACTGATGGGCCCGCGAGCCAGTGCTCATTGGAGAAAGCTGAATATATTGTTCTGCACCTCATTTCCCAGGCTGCCAGGCAGAAGGGGATGGCCTGGATGACAGCTGACACCATGAGATGGCCGTGAGATCTCATTCACTTGTAAAATGAGGCCACAGAATTGCTTGATTTAGCTGTGAGAGGCAGTTTGTGTAACTATCCCATGGAAAAGAAAAGGCTCTTCACACCGTTACAGATTCTTTCAGACTTCTCAGTTCTGATTATGTGATTCTCTGTGACCTTGAGCTCAGCAGTGCGTCAGTTTCTTCAACTGGCACTAAGGATATTGTGTGTCCATCCGTAGCCCAACCTTCTTTCCCATTTTGCTAGAAAGGATAGTCAAAGCATTTTTTTTTCCTTATTCATTGGGGCTTATCTCTTTCCCCTTATCTTAAAGTGTTATGAGACTCAATATGCTCCTGTGGCTGTTTGATGGCTTATTTTTCTAGGAATCTTCTTTGTGGCATTTAACCAGTAACTTCTTACCTCATATCTGCCTTGATTCTGTTGATCATATGCCATAGAGAGTTTGAGAATTTTTATGCCTAAAATTAACAGCTGCCTTCTCCAGATGTGCTGCAGGGTATAGTGTTCCTTAAGAAAGTGATTCAACATAGAATCTTCATGAGGACAGGCACTGTCTATATCGCTCATTGCTGTATCCTTAGCAAATCATATACTCCTTTGATCATGGGAAATCTTTGATCATGAATGAGTGAATGGTCCCCATGGCAACCCTCTACAAAGATTTCTCTGTTCTTACTGCTGCTCTCCGCCTACCTTTCTCAATGTTCTAGCTCAAGTGAAGTGAAAATGGAAAGACTAGGTTACGTGCATGTGCTGAGCAAGCCCCTTCATCTCTCTTGAGCTACCCTTTGCCCCGAAAGCCTTCTGACCCTACTTATTTTGACATTGGGACTTCTTCTTTTAATCCTTCTGTTGCTCTATGAAATTATATTTTACAAGAAATTTAGGTTTGGGATATAAAAATTATAATTTAAATTTAATTAAACAAAACCATGTGGATTTGTTGACTCATGTAACCAAGGAGCACAGCTGGACCTAGGGACGCCTGGAACCAGAATTCAAATGCTGACAAGATCATCTTTATGTGCTTACGTCTCTTCTTCTGGCTGGGGGAAGCTTCATCATCCCTGTTTCTTCTCAGGGAGGTCCATTTTGCAGTAAGAAGATAAGGGGTTATCTCTTCTTTAAATTTTTTTTTAATCAATGCACATATTTATGGGGTACTGTGTGATTAATATATATATATATTTAATATATATATATATATAATATATATATATATATATATATATATATATATATGTATATCATATAATGTTGGAATCACAAGGTAAGCATATATATCTCCTAAAATACTTATCATTACTCTTTGGTGAAAACATTCCAAATCTTTTTTTTTCTAGCTTTTTTGAAATATACATTATTATCATTTATAGTCACCCTACTGTGTGAGGGAATATCAGAATTTAATTCTCAGCATACTTATGCAGGCCAAATTTGTGTTATATGACTCTTTATATCATTTAACACAATTATCATATCTGTTCTTTAAATCCTAACTACTAGGTCTAACATTTAGTTCACATTGGAGTCAGTCTCTGTTGATTATATTTTTTTCTTGAGAATGAGTCACATTTTCCTAGTCTAGTAATTTTGGACTATATCGTGGACACAGTGAACTTTAGGTCACAGAGTCTCTGAATTCTGCTGTATCCTTTTGAAGAACATTGATTTTATTGTTTCAGCAGGCAATTAAATGGATGAACTTAACCTGCAAACTTTGCATCTTGGACAGCAACTCTAAAATTGCTTTAATTCTTTGATCCTTTGTTTGACTGTCTTATGTGTACATGCTTCAGAGATCAGCCAGGGATTTGAACAGAGTTTATCAACAGAATTTAGTATTCTCCTTGTCTAGCTCTCTCCTTTCCAGGATTTTTTGCCTTAGGTTCTTTAGGTCAGAAAGACTGTGGCTTTTCTATCAGAGTTTTTATATGTGTTTCATCAATTGGGATCCATAGCAGGTTATATTTAAATCAAAGCCCCAATCAGATTAATTGATCATGAAACACTTTGAATGTGTTCCCTTTGTGATTGTAAAAAGAAGCATCTTTTTCCATAGAGCAGTGAAAAGTGGAGAGATAGCAGCTTGGACCCGAAGCCAACAGTTGGGGTTGACCTTGGGGAAGGCATCTAATCTGTTTGAGTTACGATTTCCTAATTTGGAAAATAACATATCCAACTCCAAGATCTTTCACACCCATGTCTCTGCCAGTTTATATAGTTCAGTGATTTTCATGATGGGATGACTTTGAGAAAAACAAAGAGTCCCCTCTCCCCATTCTTTTTTAAACAACAACTTGTACTGTAGTATAATTAGCATTCACTTAACCTCACAAGTGTGTACTTTGATAGGTTCTGATGTATGTATATTCCTGTGAAACCATAACCACAACCAAGATGGTGAACATACTTACTGCCTTCCAGATTAACTTGGGTCCCTTAGTGATCCCTCCCACCACCTCCTTCCTTCACCGACTTGGGCCAGCCAAGTAGCCACTGACCTGCTTTCACTTACTACATATTACTATGTAGTGGTATATCATCTGGCTTTTGACAAGCATTATCCTAATGTTTAATTATACTGAGTGTATTTTAATGTACTTACTTGCTGTTCTATCTTTTTTGGCAAGATGTCTTTCAAATGTTTTGCAGTTTTTTTTTTTTGGCAGTACAGAGGATTGAACGCAGTGCCTCACACATGCCAGTCAGTGATCTACCTCTGAGCTACTCCCCAGCCCTTGCATATTTTATTGGATTATTTGTTTTCTTATTATCTGGTTTTGAGAGGGTTTTTAAAAAATACTTTAGATATACATCCTTTATCAGATATATGCTTTGCAAATATTTTCTCCCAGTGTGTATTTTTTTCTTTTCACAGCAGTGTCTTTTGAAAGAGAAATTATAAGGATCCTGAATTTCTGACCCACAAA